GCTTCACTCGCAAGGATTAAAGTGAAGGAGAGGCCAACGGGCTTCACTATAAAACCTGAGGAGGCCAGGGATGACCAACAGGAGACACAGAGCCAGGAACTCTGTGACTGCCTCTTCCCAGAGTCCTCAACGCCGGCAACACCCCAGAGTCTAGGCTCCCTCCCTTGTCATCTAACCAGTCATCAAGCCCAGCAAATGTCACCTCCTTTATCTCTCAAACTGATCCACCCTGCTCCACTGCCACAGGCACGGGTTCTGTCCAGGCCCTCATCTTGTCACCTGAATCCGCTGCAGGGCCCTGACAGGTCTCCTGTAGATCCTGCCCTGGGAATGCAGTCACCACACTGCCACCCGGGAACCAAAACAGCGAGACCAGTCACGCTCAGGTTAAAATTCTCCAGTCCCCAGCTCTCCACCCCTATGCTTTAAAAGTAAATCCAAATTTCCTAGCCTGACAATATTAACTGCTACTGTTTTATTGAGTTTTTTTTTTTTTTTTTTTTGAAGATGTATCAATTTATTTGAAAGGCAGAGTTACAGAGAGAGGGAGAGATGTTCTGGCCACTGGTTCACTCCCCAGCTGGTCACAATGGCCACGGCTGGGCCAGGCGGAAGCCAGGAGTTTCATCCAGGTCTCTCACATGGGTGGCAGGGTCCCAAGTGCTAGGGACATCTTCAACACTCTCTCATTAGTAGGGAGCTGGACCAGAAGTAGAGCAGCCACTGTGTCCACTGGGAATGCTGACATCGCAGGCACCTGCTTAACCTTCTGTGTCACAACACCTGCCCTTGGAGTGTTTATTTGCAATCTACCTACCAGTGCAAAGTAAGTAACGATATCACTGCATTTAATTTATATATCCCCTTCTCACAGCTGAGCGAACTGGAGCTGAGAGAGGAAATGACTTGGCCAAGGTGACAAAACCAGTTCTGTGGCAAAGCTCACGCTGGGATACATGGATCTGACTCTAAAATCACTACCCTTAGCACGTGAAGGCCACAGATCCTCCCCCGTGCACTTCTTTCCCTGCCCAGTCACCCCTACCCTGCAACACTGCACGGCAATTCCTGTGGGCCACTTGCAGGCCACGCATTCTCGCCTACGACCTTCCGCACTCTTCACCTGCACATCCTTGAGGCCTGGGATAAAGCAATGCCTCCTCATGGAAGCCTTCTCTGATGCGTCAGCTTGGCTTACACGCACCCCAGCTCCCCCTCTACCACACCTCTGCAACACCACATACCACATCACTCTTACCTAGCTCCTAGTTTTATTCATAGTGGATTAATTAATTAATTTTGAATTGTAAGTACACTTGCCAAGTTTAAAGAATACACCTATGGGGTCAGCACTGTGGCCTACTGGGTTAAAGCCCCAGGCTGCAGTGCCGGCATCTGATATGAGTACCGGTTCAAGTCCCGGCTGTTCCTCTTCCAATCCAGCTCTCTGCTATGGCCTGGGAAAGCAGTGGAAGATGGCCCGAGTCCTTGGGCCCCTGCACCCGCGTGGGGGTCCTGGAGAAGGCTCCTGGCTCCTGATCAGCTCAGCTCTGGCCACTGCGGTCATTTCAGGGATGGGCCAGTGGAATGGAAGACCACTCTCTCTCTCTCTCCCTGGCTCTACCTCTCTCTATAACTCTTCCAAATAAAATAATTTTTTTAAAAAATAAAGAATACACCTAACTGACCAGACAGCCATCTCAGAAAAGAACTGAGAACCCAGTCTGCACCCGGACTAGTTGTTATATACATGGGTGCGGGCCCATCGTTTCTCCTCCCCCTCTCCTTCCTCCGGGATATCGGTTGAGCTTCTTTAGGACAGGGCTGTGGGTCTTCCTCATTGTTGTGCTCCCAACCAATAACACAGGGTCAGGGTCAGGCACAGAGCAGAGGCTTAGCCAATGTTCATGCTTATCCTCTATAATGGGAAGCTGGCCAGCGTCAGAAAAAGGAACCTGTGGTTGAAAAACAGAGTCCAGCACTCGTTCTTAAATGGTTTCAAAACAACCGCAGCTGAGAGCAGGGAGGACTCACCCATGGAAAACGGACGGGGAGGGGAAGGGAAGGGAGGCAGCAGAAGCAGGGAGCAGAGGGCTGCAGCTGAGACCCACCGGCAGGCAATTTAACAAGCCCGGTGCCTAGGTGGGGACCAGGGGAGCAGTGTGGCAATGGGGGCCCTCACGAGTCTGGCTTCTGCTTCATTTAGGTGTTAGCTCAATGGTCACCTCTTCAGGGGACTCATCCTGACCAGCTAGCAGAGGTTTACTTTCATCTACCTGAAAAATAAAGCAAGATAGAGCTTCCATCTGCTGGCCCACTCCAAAAGTCTGCAATAACCAGCACAGGGCCAGCCCACAGCCAGGAACTCCACCCCGCCATGTGGGTGGCAGGGGCCCAAGCACTTGAGTCATCATCTCCCAGGACATAGTAGTAGGAAGCCAGCTGGAAAGTGGAGCCGTGGGGACTCAATCCAGCACTCTGATCCGAGATGCAGCTTAACCTGCCGTGCCACAAGACCTCCCGCCCCTCTCCCCAGCTAGCTTTTAAAATAGCTCCTTTTGGGCCAGCGTTGAGGCACAGCAGGGAAAGCTACCACCCGTGATACAAACATCCCATATGGGTGCAGGTTCCACTTCTGATCCAGCTACCTGCTAATGGCCTGGGAAAAGTAACAGAAGTTGGTCCAAGTGTTTGGGCCCCGGCCACCCATGTGAGAGCCCCAACCAAGGCTCCTGGCTTCGGCCTCACCCAGCCTTGGTCATTGTGGCCATCTGTGGAATCAATCAACAGATGGAAGATCTCTTTTTCTCTCTGTGTGTGTCTCTCTCTGTAACTCTTTCAAACAAATAAATCTTTAAAAATAAAACTGCTTCTTCTGTTTCCACAAAAAAGTCTATCCCATTTCTCTGTGCCTGTTTTGGTCACACTCATCGAGATCTGAAACATCTGCCACCCTTACAAGTGTGTTTATTGGCCATCACTACCACCACCACTGCCGTGCGAGAGGTAGGCTCCATGAAACAAGCATTTTTTCTTTTTTACTGCTGAACACCAGTCCCTACAATAATACCTGGCACGCACAGGCATGTAAATACTCACTTTATTTCGTCACTCAACAAATAGTTAGTGGGCATGTGTGTGCATGTGCGTACTTGAAAAGTTCATGGAAAATGGGACTACAAAACAAGTTTATTTGGGGGCAAAAAAAATCTTGAAATCCACGCATTTCTTCCAAAAGTTCACAAAAAATGTGCGCAGGGGTGGGGGTCTGCCCTAGCAGGTAAGACATCAGCTGCCATGCCTGCAGCCAGAGGGCTTGTTCCCCGTTCCAGCTGCCGGCTACTGTGCACCACGGGAGGCAGCAGGTGCCGGCTCAGGGGGTTGGGTTCGTCCCATCCATGGGGGAGACCTGGACTGGGCTCCTGGCTCCTGGCTTTGTCTTGGCCCAGCTCTGGCTGTCGGGCATTTGGGGAGTAAAACAGCAGATGTGGGTCCTACGTTTATGTCTCATAAACAAATAAACAAACAACTTTGAATTCAGTTTTCCCACAAACTTTCTGAAGGACCCTCACACAACGCTAGGCATTGTTCTATATCCTGGGGATGTCACAGCACATAAAACAGGACAAGATTCTTTTGTTGCCGGGCTTACTATGCGTGGATGAATATGCTTAGCATTGCCAAGGAAAGGCACGAAGAGGAAGACGACGTAGCCCCTTCCAAAGCACAGGGCAAGGAAATCGAAGGGGAGCCCCGTGAGCCTGAGGGACGCACAGCGGGATGACTCGGATTACCAGGAACCGCCTACAGCTCAACCTAAAACTTTTCTGCGTCAGATCTGGGTGAGGGCGAAGCCGGAGCACACAACCCCAAGCGCTGAGCGTTCCGTCCCTGAGGAAATCAGCGATGCCATGCAAGAAATGCCAGTCGTCGGCGCGAGAGGGAGTCTGGGACACAGAGGTCCCACACTGGCGGCCACAGATACGCCTGATTCCCGTCCTGCAGGATTAACAACCAAAAACCGAAGGGCAGGTGTGCAGCGGCTAAGACGGCGCTGGGACTCCAGCGTCCGCACGGGGGGATCCGGGTCTGCGTCCAGCCTCCAGTCCCCACCCCAGCTTCCTGCTAGTGTGCAGGAAGGCAGGCAGCAGGCGATGGCTCAGGGGCGTGGGTCCCTGCCACGCGCATGGCAGACCTGGACGCGGTTCCTGGCTGTCTTGGCCCAGCTCTAGCTACTGGGCATTGGGGCGAGAAGGATGGGATGCAAGCTTGCTTTCTACGTCTCTCTTCCTTTCTCTCTTTCAAAGAAAACTAAACAAAATGAACTCATCCCCACTGTGTGAAAATCAGATTACTGCGCGCACACACACGCAAAACGGAGCTTGGGTTTCACTTCTCTAACACACGCGTTGGTGCATAGTGACACTTTCCCCCTACCCTCTCTTCCACCCATGACAGCTTGACACTACTTCCGACGAAGCAACTGTCTCGCCCCGACTTTTTCTCATCTGACTTCCTCTTGCAAGCACGAGCTCGTAACCCCCGCACCACACCACGGATGGAGAACCCCAGTTCAGCAGAGCCCTTACGGAGCAGCCCGACTTCCACCCCCGCACTTCACGAACGACGGATTCTCATTCCCGTCTCCCAGACGAGGGGGAGCAGCTCAGACGGGGAGGGCGTGCCAGTCACACAGCGAACCAGGGCAGGGCCAGGAGAGGCCGCGGACGGCTCAACACCGCAGACGCCGGGCTCTCCCTCTCAGAGGCCGGGAGGGACGACGTGGGCAACCGGCAGGGCTGACCCGCGAGGGGACGTGGCCGAAAAGCAGCCGGAGTTAGTAACTGCCTGGAGGTGGAAGGACCTCCCAGCGCGTCCGGAGGAGGACCCTGTGACCGCCTGCTTCGCTCGTCCGCCGCCGAGCGCTCCCCTTGCGTCCAGACCCCCAAAATCGCCCTCACCAGCCCCTACTCCTCTCAGGCCCTCCGCGGCTCACTTACCGCCACTCAACTTCCGGCAACCACAGCGCCGCCCGCAGCGCGCACGCCGATGACGCAACACGGCCCCGCCCCCGCCTGCCTGGGAGAATGGCGCGCGTGCGCACAGGCGCTAGCGCCTGCCGAGGGGGAAATGCGTCCCTAGCACCAGACTAAATGGGAGGAGCTTGAGTCGTAGGGAAGGCGGGGCATCCGGAGGTGGGCGGGGCCTAGCCTGGGGCTGGTCAGAAAAGCCGCTTACGATAGTGTGTGTCTTAGGTTTTTAGGAAAACGCTCTGTACCGCGTCGTTTGACTCAGGAGATGGCAGGAATCAGGATCACTGCATTTTCCCTGTGCCGTGGCGTCAGCAGAGCCCCGTGACCATGATGGAAGCCGGAGTAGAGATACAGAAGAGGCAGCCACCAGCCTGCCTCTCGGAATCCCCATCTTCTCATGGCTCCCCGCTTTCCCTGGGCTGAAGTTACTCGTTCTATCTTTAGTTGAGCGAAGCGCTGGGCAGGTTTGGGGGCTAGAACCCCAAGGCCTTTCCCAAAGTGACTCTGCTGTAGCTCTGTGCGCTCAGGCTAACAGGGCAGGCGTACTGATGATCTTGCACGTTTCCAAGGCTTCACCCCTCCCACCCCACAAAGGCCCTGCAAGGCGGGTGCTACGGCTTCCCCACCCTACCTCACCAAACAGCACAGGCTAGAGAGCGCTCGGGGGCTTACCGCAAGTTCTCTGGGGCTGGGGTTGACCTGAAAGCCTGTTTGAGCCAGACTTGGCAAGGGGATCCTGTATCAGAAAGATGGATGGATGGGGGGTGCAACGGGGACCGCAGTAGGGAGGCTGTTCTGGCCAGAAGATTAGCAGGTGTCTCGAGGGTTAGGCCGAAAGAACTGGACACAGGAAGGCGGGACGAAAGGGCAGCTTGGTGCCCAGGTCAGCGGGTGTTCTGCCCTGAGGCCACCTTGGGGGGGGGGGGGCTATGCGCTGGTTCAGTCTGAGGGTGACAGCTCCGGGAAAGGAAAGACTGATGGAGACAAGTAGCCCAACTCGTCATTTAGGATGCAAAGAATGAGAATCCAGGGCTGTGGCTGGCTTCAGACAGGCAGATGAGGGAGGCATCTGGGGCTTTGCCGTGAATCCTTTCAGAAGCACAGAGGGTGGAAGGATTTTCTGACCACTGCAGCACAGGACCAGGAAAGCGTCCCCACCACCCCCTCACACCGCAGGCTTGGGTCACAGCACATGAATTCGAGTCAACACCTCCTCTGCTCTCGGGTCTCCGTCCCTGCCGTGCCCCCTTCCTCGCTGCTCGTGGGACCCTCTCTCAGTCTTCAGGACCCAGCTGAAGTGTGAGTGAGTCGTAGACAAAATGCAGGTGGAGCAGAGAACACGTGCTGCGTGATTCCACTCACCTGGAGTGCTGACGTCAGCCAAACGAACGTGTGAAAAGTCAGACCAGGGCGTGCCGGAACGGGGCAGTGTACGTGTTGTGTGCAAAGGAACACAAGTCGATGGATATGTTGTACAGCTTGATTAAGTTAGAGATGACACAGGTGCGCAATCTGTCAAAACCCATTGAACTCTACACATAAAAGGGGTGCATGGGGGCTATCGTCGAGGTGCAGTGGGTAAGGAGACACCTGTGATACTGGCCTCCCAAAGCAGAGCACCAGTTCCCTACCTGGCTACCCTGCTTTCCATCCAGCTCTCTTTCTTTTTATTTATTTATTTTTTTATTTTTTGACAGGCAGAGTGGACAGTGAGAGAGAGAGAGAGAGAAAGGTCTTCCTTTGCCGTTGGTTCACCCTCCAATGGCCGCTGCGGCCGGCGCGCTGCGGCCAGAGCGCCGTGCTGATCCGATGGCAGGAGCCAGGTCCTTATCCTGGTCTCCCATGGGGTGCAGGGCCCAAGTACTTGGGCCATCCTCCACTGCACTCCCTGGCCACAGTAGAGAGCTGGCCTGGAAGAGGGCCAACTGGGACAGAATCCGGCGCCCTGACCGGGACTAGAACCTGGTGTGCCGGCGCCGCAAGGTGGAGAATTAGCCTCGTGAGCCGCGGCGCCGGCCCCACCCAGCTCTCTTTCAATGCACCTGGCAAAGAAGCAGAAGACGGCCCAAGTGCTTGGGTCCCTCCACCATGTGAAGGATCCAAATGGAGCTCCTAGCTCTGGGCTTCATCCTGGCCAAGCCCTGGCCATTGTGGCCATTTGGGAACTGAATTAGTGGATGGACTCTCTCGCGTGCTTCTCTTGCTCTCTGTAACTCGTTCTAAATAAATAAATCTTTTAAAAAAAAAAATCTTAGTAGCCCACACCTGTCATGCCAGAGTTCTCTGGGTTTCAGAGCCTGGCTTGACATGTGTGGGGAGCAGGTCACCTCCCTGACTAAGCTGCAAGACAACCGGGGACGGTGGGTTGACCAGAATCGCTGTAGTCTTGCGGCCTTGTTGCCAGCCGGTGTCTGGGGACATGCTCTACCTTTCTGTGGCTCCTGGTCCTGCACCTTTCTTTCTTTTTTTTTTTAAAGACTTATTTATTTGAAAGTCAGAATTACACAGAGAAAGAAGGAGAGGCAGAGAGAGAGAGAGAGAGAGAGAGAGAGAGAGAGAGGCCTTCCATTTGCTGGTTCACTCCCCAACTGGCCACAACGGCTTGAGCTGTGCCGATCCGAAGCCAGGAGCCAGGACCTTCCTATGGGCCTCTCCATGCACTTGGCCATTTTCTACTGCTTTCTCAGGCCATACAGAGAACCAGATTGGAAGTGGAGCAGCTGAGACTCAATCGGCACTCATATGGGATGCCAGCACTGCAGGCGGCAGCTTTACCTGCTATGCCACAGTGGCTCCCACCCTGCACCTTACTTAAGGCCCCTGCAATTGGTGTCCACGCCATCCTGAGCAGCAGAGGCCCAAGTACCTGGGCCCATCTTCCACTGCCTTCCCAGGCCTTCAGCAGAGAGCTGGATCGGTAGTGGAGCAGCCGGGCCTTGAATTAGCACCCACACAGGAAGCCAGTGTTAAAGGAGGCGGCTCAGCCGCTGCACCACAGTCCTCATGGAAGCATTTTTTTTTTTTTTTTTTTTTGACAGGCAGAGTGGATAGTGAGAGAGACAGAGAGAAAGGTCTTCCCTTTTGCCGTTGGTTCACCCTCCAATGGCCGCCACGGCTGGCGTGCTGCGGCCGGCGCACCGCGCTGATCCGAAGCCAGGAGCCAGGTGCTTCTCCTGGTCTCCCATGGGGTGCAGGGCCCAAGCACTTGGGCCATCCTCCACTGCACTCCTTGGCCACAGCAGAGAGCTGGCCTGGAAGAGGGGCAACTGGGACAGAATCTGGTGCCCCGACTGGGACTAGAACCCGGTGTGCCAGTGCCGCTAGGTGGAAGATTAGCCTAGTGAGCCGTGGCGCCGGCCAGGGAAGCATTTTTAAAAAATGTATGTATTTATTTATTTGAAAGGTGAGTGACAAGAGGGAGAGAAAGAGATCTTCCATCTGCTGCTTCACTCCCCCAAAGGCAGCAACAGTCAAGACGGCCAGGCTGAAGCCAGGAGCTAGGAACGCCACCGGGTCTCCCACGTGCCTAGCAGGGCTGGCTCCAAGCATTCGGGCGGTGCTCTGCTGCCTCCCAGGAAGCTCCATGGATATGAGATGGCGGCTTCCTAAGCTGCAACTCTGCAAGAACACCTGACCCTGGAGAAGGCTTTCGAAGAAGGTTCTATTAATGACAGGCCAAGGACGGTTTATTCTTCCTTTGACTATATTGAACTTATGGATACATTCATGAAGAATAGTTTCTGAAAGCGGATTTTTTCCTGAGTGCATTAATACTGAGCCGCCTGGTCTACTCTTTCCCTCTCCGCTGCTCCGTTTCTGTCTTCCTTCCCAAGTCAGCCTCCCCCATCCCCCTGAACTTGTCTCCATCTCCACGCTCTGCCCTGCCCTCCGGGGTCCTCCTCTCCTGCTCAGCTCTCTCCCTCTACCGCCCGCTGTCCCCCACCGTCTCCCCTCAGTGCCACCTCTCTAACACTCCGTCTCCCCATCCTGTCTCCCCCAGCTCCGCCCCTTGGTCTTCCCTCCATCACCCTTGGTCCCTTCACCTCCCTTTCTCCGCCCCGTGAACCCGGCTCCTGCCTCTCTTGCAGTGGTGAGCTGAGACCGAGACAGAGGGCGCATTCCCCAACAGGCTGCTAGGGACACACACATCATCAGTTACCTGGTAATCGCAGGAAACTGTTCTTCACAAAACGCTACGGACATGAATCGTGGTAAACCTTGCGAAGAGTGACAAGGAAGGCAGTGCTGGCTAAGTTGGTCATTTTGGCAGATTGTCACCGGGATAACCAAAGTGCATCAGCCTTAAGCCTGCAGGGTGCTCACCTGCACACCAGGCCTCCGTGACAGCCTTGTGCTAGCACGTGTGTATTTTCATGTTTAGCGCACAAAGCCTGGCTCCCCCGGATGCTGCGCCAGCCATCAGCTACTCTGTCTTCCCTCATGGACTGCAGCTGGGGGCCTGGGCACCTTAGCCTATTGCTTTTCATCCGTTCAAACACAAATCCAGTCCCGCAGGCTGGGGGTGCAGGAGTAGGTGACGGGGGACAAGGAGGCACACTCCAGAGTCCTGTGCATGGGTTACCTGTTCCTAAACACCAGGCCACCCCCTGGCACCTGCTCAGTCCACTTTGAAACTGCCTCGGTGCACCTGCCGGATACCAGATACAGACTCAGGGGAAAAGGAAGCAGCGACTTTGCTCCCTAAACTCTGGCAATCGATGTTTATCGGCCGTTTCGTGTTCCTACCAAACTCAAAGGCAGGTCTCTCTGACCCACAGGCAGGGCTCGTGACCACTCCTCTGCACCTGTCACCGGCGGCTCATGGACCTCAGGACACACTCTGCTGCTGGCCAGCAGGCAGCGTTCTCTGCTCTTGGCTCCCGAGGGGTCTGGGGAGCGATTCTCTCTGGCTGTGTGTTCTCTCTCGTGTCTGCGGGAGGTTTCTGACCTGGAAGCAGAATAGCTGTGGCTTCTAAGACCCCGATGGATGTCTGCTCAGCCCCACCCCTACCCCAAATCCAAGCAAGAACTGTAGGGGACGCAAGGCAGAGTGAGAATGAAGCTTTTTAATAAAAAAGTAATTCCTTTTCGAGAGGCATTAACAACTGCGACCAGGAGCCAATGAGAAACCCTCCATGAAACCCTGGAATATTTGAGGGTCTACCCGATACATCTCAGACCAGAGGTTCACAAACAAACCACAGGCCAGCGCCGTCTCAGACATCACACTTTAGGTCAGCAAAAAGACCCCACTTAACAGATCATGCAAACAGGAAGGCAAGACACAAAATGCACGTGTATAGGCTTTCCTGCTTGCCACACACATGAGGGCTCAGCAGTGAGTTTTAAAACACATACCATGTCCAGATCGCGACCAACATAAATACCAGTGAAACTGCATGTCCCCACGCCGTGGCCAGTTTATACTGCACAGGTGTGATGACAAGAGACCACGACTTTTTGACAAACCTAACACAACTCACAAATAAAAATGCACACCGTTCTGTTCAGGGAGTCACCTGCTGAGCCCGCAGACGTGTTACATGTCACCTCTTCCTCCTCTCAACGTGTTACCCAGAATTCTGTGTGTGTGTGTGTGTGCATGCGTGCACACACCCGCTTAGCAGGACTCACTGCTGCCTTTTAGAGAAACGTGTTACAAATGAGCCGGAACCCCACGCAGTTCCAGTCTCACTTTCCTCCTGAAAGCCACCGGCCCTTGGCACCTCCTTCCACCTGGCGGCACCTCAATGTGCTCCCGTGCACGCTGGGGCGTCACACCCCCTTCCTGTCGTCGGTGTTCTGGGGCTGAAACGGCGTCAGCTTTCTTCCCTGAGTCCCAGTTTTTGCTTGTAATGTGCAACCATTTGAAACTATTTTTTCTCTTTCTTTTGTGCTCAGCGTCCGTCACCGCTGTTTCACTAGCCAAGAGGAACTTGGGGTTGGAAATGCAGGAGGTGCGAGCGGCATCGTTTGCAATCAGGTCGAAGACATGCGCGGGTGAGAAGGAATAAGGCAGAGTGGCCAGGGGGTTCCGACGCTGGTTCTGGAGCAAGCTGGGAAACGGGCTCAGAGGAGGCGTGCTGAGGAGCCGCAGCCACCGCAGACCAAGCCGCCCTGCCTCTCAAGGCGACCCTGGCGGGGACAGCAGCTGCCCACAGGTGAAGGCTCCACACCAAGGAGACCAGAGAGCTCTGACCCTCCAGGGGACCGCCGCCCCCGCGGGTCTCAGGCTGCCCCAGAGCTCCAGGCCGCAGCCTGAATTACAGCGAGAGGCGGGTGCTCGGCCTCTCCAGCAGGCCGGAGAGCTCTGGCAGATTCTGAGTCTCTTGCAAACATTCTGCTTTCTCCCCAAGAACAGTCTCTCCGCAGCCCGCCCCGCCGCTGTGCTCCCAGTGGTGCCTAAGGAGCTCCCGACTCCCCGGCCCCTGGCACGGAGGCGTTGATTCCAGAGAGCCCAGGAGCCTGGCGTGGCACCAGCTTTCAGCCTTCCGGTTCGTCGGGGGCCTCGCGAGCGTCCCTGTGTGGCAATCCCGCGGAGGCCCCGTTTAGGAACGGATGTGCAGGAGCCTCTTGAACGTCTTCTTAAAGTTCTCGTTGCACAGTGGGTAGATGAGCGGGTTCAGCGTGGAGTTGATGTAGCCCAGCCAGATGGTGAACATGTGCACGTGCTCGTTGCAACAGCTCTTGCAGAAGGCAATGACCATGAAGAAGATGAAGTAGGGGATCCAGCAGAGGATGAAGGCCGCCATGATGAAGCCCAGCTGCTTGGCGGCCTTCCGCTCCCGGCTCATGTGCAGCCCCGACGTGTACTGTCTCGAGTGGGAGCGCAGGCGCTTCCAGGTGAACTTGATGTAATCCAGGCCCGTGCTAGACCCACTTCTCAGCGTGCCTCTGGCCGGCGCCGGCTCCGTGGTGGCGTCGGAGTCCATCGTCCGGGAGAGGGACTGGCTGTCCCCCAGCGTCTGGTCCTCCGACAGCTCACTGATGTGACGCGCGCCCAGGCTCTGCTCCCCTGCTGCGAGCTGGCTCCTGGGCTGGCCGATGGCGGCATAGCCCGGGCTGCTCCCCTGGGCCACCATCGCTGTCTGCACCATGTTAACTGGGAAGCAGTGGAGCGTGGCCTCCTCTCCGGCCTCCTCTCGGCTGAGCCCAGCTGGAGATTTCGTCTCCGCAGGGACTTGGGACGGTGACTTCGAGGCTGGGCCACCACCTGCATCTTTTGGCCTCCTCTTCGTAACTTCCCACGGGGACTCCTTCCCGGGCTTCTTGCCACCCACCTTGGGATTCTCCGGCCGCAGGTTGATCTCTAAGAAGGCTGGGAGAGACCTGCTGATGAGCTCCCGGTGCTGGCAGTGTTGCCGCACAGCCCTGTAGATCCTGGCGTAAAACCAGAGCATAAGCACGGTGGGCAGGTAGAAGTTGATGATGGCCGTCATGATCTTGAACCAGGTGACGTCATAGAAGTCTGTCTCGCACTTGTCATCCCGGGGCCTTGGGCTGTGCGGCAGAAAGCGACGCCATCCGACGATGGGAATGATCCACAGGCAGGAGAGAAACCAGGCTCCCAGGATGGTGACCGACGCCCGGGTCTTGGTTCGATACCTCAGGTACCGGAGGGGCTGCTGGACAGAGCGGTAGCGGTCAATGCACAGGATGAAGACGCTGAAAATGGACGCCGTGCTGGCCACGTAGTCCATGGAAAGCCAGAAGAGGCAGAGGGGCCGGCCCAGGGACCACCGGGTCATGAGAAGGTAGAGGATGTTCATGGGCATGACGGCGGCGCCCACGATCAGGTCTGCCGCCGACAGGCTGACGATGTACAGGTTGCCCACGGTGTGCAGCTTCCGCTCGCTTCGGACGGCGCACAGCACCAGCAGGTTGAGTCCGACGGTGACCAGGGAGATGGTGCTCAGGACCACCACGAGCGGCGTCAGCTGCACGTTGGCCATGGTGGTCTTGTTGCCCTCACACATCCTGTCTTCTGAGATGCAGGAGGAATTGGGAAGGGTCATTGGCACAAGAGGACTCTCCAGCTGTGCTCACTCCCTGGGAGAAAAGACAGAAGGCGCAAGGTCACGGCTCTGGGGATCAGCGGCCTCCCGGCAGCGCCACGTTTACCAGGTGGGGCTGCACGTGGCTGGGCACTGTGGGCCCTGCCGGCTCCTCCCCAGCAGCCCTGTCAGCTTCCTCCTGACTCATTCACTCTTGCATTCCTTTCACGACCACTCAGTCGATTCCTGGGGCTGTTCTAGCTGTTGCGGATATAGCAGTGAACAAGAGAGAAGACAAAAGGGACTGGCACAGCAGGTTAAGCCACTGTCTCCACTGCAAGCATCCCATACCCGAGCACCAGTTCCAACCCTGGCTGCTCTGCCTCCTATCCAGCTCCCCCGCTGATGTGCCGGGGAAGGCAGTGGAAGACGGCTGGAGTGCTGGGCCCCCGCATCTGTGCGGGAGACCAGGACAGAACTCCTGGCTCCTGGCTCCGGCTTAGGCCAGATCTGGTTGTTGCAGCCATTTGGGGAGTGAACCAGTACATGGAACACTGTCTGTCTGTCTGTCTCTCTCTCTCTGCTTTTCAAATATGCAGATGAATCTTAAAAGAAACAGACCAGGATCTCTGCCCTCACACAGCGTACACTCTAGTGAGGGAGTTGGCAAAAGCAAGGTCCCATAATGGTCTGTACAGGTCTCATCTTGCACACATTCTGGGACAGTGGGATGCTTCCTGACGGGGCGAAGCTGAGCACGGCACTCCAGTTCCTCTTTGCCAGGGACTCATCTAGCAGTGGCCAAGGGACATAGCCACGGCCAAGCAGGGGTGACCTTCCAAGAAAGCTCTTCCCCTCTGTCAAAGGAGCAAAACAAGGAAAATCACAAGAAGTGTCCTTTCCCACGGACCCCCTTCTTCCAACAAAGGAAGGAAGGTGGTGATGTCTGGGGCAATGGGGCCATCAGGGAAATGCCAAGGAAACCACCGAGAGGCCGGCTCAGAGCACCATTACCAGGAGGCTGCTGAACCAACCACACCCGCTACTATGCAAAATAATCCCAGGCCCTTTTTGCTTAATTCACTGTCTAGAGGGCTTGTACTTGCAGCTAAAAGCATCCCTAAGGTATGCAGGAGGTCATCACGGGGCCGAACCAGAGGAGTCGAAGTCTTGGAATGGACTTAGCGCATCTCCCGAGAAGAGTGGCTCTGGCAACAGGAAGGGGACTGTGCTGTTTGGAAAAGCATATGTATTCCTTTACTGTTACATTTGGAGAACGAAAACTCCTTTTGTTTTGCAAGCCCTGCCAAGCGATGTGTAACAAAACCTGTGCTTGTAGGGCCTGAAAGCATACTGCTGCCTCCCCCCTCCCCCACCCCCGCCGTGACTGGGGAGCCTCTGCGGGGCGCTGTTGGATTTCTGCACCCGTCAGGAAGTGGCGTGAGTTCACAGGAAACCGAGGAACACTAACAGAATCAAGTTCTCCTGAAAATGATGTTTACATGACGAAGCCAGGCAAGCCAAGTAGAAGGATACATTTAAAAAAAAAAAAAAAATTTAAGACAAAAATCCAGACTCCATGGTGTCTGCAGAGAGAATGTCTGAGATGTCTGCCTGCCAGGTGCCACCAGTAGCACTCACTGCACCCAGCACGGGCTGGCTGCTTTGTTTTTGAAGATTTATTGACATGAAATGCAGAGAGAGGGAAAGAGCGAGAGAGTGAGAGAGGGAGAGAGAGACAGAGAAAGAATTCTTCCATCTATTAGTTCACTCCCCAAATGCCCATCATAGCCTGAGCTGGGCCAGGCAGAGGCCAGCAGTGTAGAACTCCAGCTGGGTCTCCCATCCTCCAATGCCCTTCCAGGCTCACTAAAAGGAGCTGGATCACAAGTGGAGCAGCCAAGACTCGAATTGGCGCTCTGACATGGGGTGCTGGTGAAGCAAGCAGTGGCTTAACCCACTGCGCCATGATGCCTGTCCCTGCCACTGGTTCTCTGGATGATTTCTGTGTTCTCATGGGTCATGTGGACAATCTCCAAGGCCTTCCCCTGTGTCTCTGGGAACATCCCTGGGGGTGGCTTTGTGTGTCCTCTTGCTGTGAGCTGCCTGAGGCAAGGCAACCCTCTGACTTACGGGAACTTCATCCGGGTCTCCCATGTGGGTGTTAGAGACCCGAGGACTTGGGCCATAACCTACTACTGCCTTCCCAGGCGCATCAGCAGGGAGCTCAGTCAGAAGTGGAGCAGCCGAGACTCACACAGGCGCCCACGTGGGTGCTGGCACTGCAGGCGGATGTTTTCCCTGCTACGCCACAGTGCCGGCCCCTCCATGCCTGCTTTTAACAATACACATTTGCCATGAACGCTTTGAAGACCCCTTGTGTCACTACAGGATTTTTGTTTTTACTGTTTTGGTTGGGAGGCAGTGGAAGTTGTTCCCTAAAATGCTCCATGGCTTGGCCTTCTCAAGGGCGCTCGGACCTCCCTCCTTCCCTCCCTCCCTCCCTACCCTCCCTTCCCCCCTCCCCTCCCTCGGTGCCTCTTCTCCCCCCTCCTCACTGCCTGGCACACAGAGAGGCGCTAAGCCGTGTTGAAATCATGCATATTCTATTACCAACTAATGTTTGACAGAAAGCATTCTTATATATAGCAATCTACATTTCCCATTTTGATGAAAAAAAAAAGCTCTCATTCAGTTGAGACTGCTGAACAAAATATTTATTACCATATTGAGTATTGAGGGGTGAAATCCACACAGGCCTATGACTTTGAAATGAATCAAAAAAGCAAGTTTTGGCACAGTGAGCTAAGCTATTGCCTGCACTGTCAGCATCCCATATCGGAGCACTGATTCGAGTCCTGCCTGCTCCGAGTCTGACCCAACTCCAGGCCAATGCATCTGGGAAAGCAGCAAAGGATGGCCCCTGCCACTCACATGGGAGACCTGGATGGAGCTCCGGGCTCCCGGCTTTGTCTTGGATCACGCCCACAGCTGCAGTCATCTGGGGAGTGAACCAGATGATGGAAGAACTCTGTGTCTGTGTTTGTGTATCTTTGAAATAAAATAAATAAAATCTTTTTTTCAAAATTGGATGGTCTGTTACATAGAGCAATGGATAAATGAACAGATACATAATCAGGTAAAACAACCACCAAATGTTAGATGATAATCTAGGTGCAGGTGCACAGTATTCGAAGCACAGTGCCCCGGCTCTTCTATTCTATCCATGTTTCATGTTAGGTTAACGCAGCATTGAGTTTATCTCCCTCACCTACTACTGGACGTTCCATGCTTATCACACTTCCTCCTGCGGAGCTCAGCTATGCCATTCTGCAGGAAGATAAAGCAAACAGTCAGCAAACGCCTGATAACCGGGCGAAGCGTCTCGCGCTCCGAATGTACTCCTCCCGTCTCTCCGCTCCGAACGTACTCCACCCACAGGTCTTGGGAGGAGGGGCCGCGTCTGTCCTCAGAAGCTGCAGAACTGAGAATCTTGGAAAGGCAACTGCGGCAGCCACGCCACGGGTGAGCTCAGCCTGCAGCCGAGGAGAGCTGGGGCCAGCGCCAGGGAAGGCGAAGACTGTGAGCACACGGGGCAGCTGGGAGACACGGCCCTTGGGGTAGGAATGCCGGAGCCGCTTCCAAGAAAGGGGGGGAGCCGATGAGCTCAGCCCAGGAATGCTGAGGGCAGTTCTGAGGAAGGCGGCAAAGCCCTAGGGACCCATGTGACATAGAACACTAAGACGGGAGACACAGGGAGGGCAACCCGAGGGGCCCCCTGGGCGCTGCCCTTCCTTCCAGGGTCTTAGAAAACCAGCATGCACTTCCCTCCCACTCAGGAACAGCTGCTATTTACAGGGCTCAGTGCAAAAGTGGAACATTTCTAGAGGACTCCGAATTTCAAGACGGTGACAGCGAGGTGCACCGTGCGCCACAGTGGCCACATGCCCAGGAAGCCAGCCCCAGCCACCTAGGTCTTAGGCAGGCTCCCAGCACTGGGATAGGCAACACGAGATGCTTTTCAGGCCCTCGAGAGTGCACGATTCGAAAGGCGGATGCGTGATGGTTTTCCTGAGCAGAGAGCTTGGGAAACATCTGGGGTCGTCTCTTACCAGCCAGGAGACCCCAGCAGGATTGGAGGTCTCCTCCTGAGGTTGAAGCTGAGTTTACAGAGAAGGTGTGGGCCAGTTGGGGTATTCCAGGAAGACAGAACGCAAGCCAGGGGAGGGTCCATCAAGATAGCGACGTGTGCCCGACCTGAGGCAACCACCTCTTAGAAAAAGCAGAAATGGGTCCTTCTCCCACAAGAGGCTCCGGGACACAAGCAGCCAGCAGTTCTGAATTACAGCTGGGGCTCTGTCCCCACACCGCTAGCTGGAGCGGGGCCTCTGACAAGCCCGACCACATACGCCTAGTGCAACTGGGGCTGCGTGCCAGCAAGCACACAGAGGCAGTCAAGGAAGGAGTCAACCCTCTCCTGCTCCCCGATTCTGGCGCTTTCCATCCGTCGGTTCTTAAATGCCCACCACGCACTCACCAGGGAGGTCTGCTGACTGGGTTTAAGCTCAGAGGGGTGAGGCAGCTCACCCAAGGCCACACAGCCAGGAAGTGTTGCTGAGTCAACATTCAAGGTGAGGTCTCTCCCACGAACTCAGGGCTTCTGAGCCTCGGTACCACTGGAAGTTAAGTCGTGTGGGGCCACCCTACACGTTGTCTGTTTAGTAGCACCCCCCGCCCCCCACCTCCTGCTACTGAACAGATACCATGAGCTGGCACCCAGTCAGGAAACCTAGAAATGCTAGCAGACACCGCCCGATGCCCCTGGGGGCGTGGATGAATGATCTGCCTGACCCCGCGCACTCTGACCTACTTTGCCCCACTGCCAGGCTCAGAGCGCAGCCTGCAGTTCAGAATTAGGCAGGGATTTCTAAAATTAGATGTTCTGCAGCAATGCGATGAGCTACACTGAGAAACAGCAGGCTTCTCACGACAGGAAGCACGGATCTGACTCCACGTGAGAAACGCCCCAGCTTTCTCAAGGGCAATTAGTTACCCATGTCAACCTGCAGCGGTTTTAGATGGCACCTGGGACAGTGCCTGGCATACACAAGGTGCTCTACGAATATCAACTGCTGTGGCACCACCATCCCACAGGTGTCCCAGGCTGGCTAAAAAAGGAATCAATCCTGACCTCTCAGGTTTTCACTATGGCAACAACTGCTAACGCCGTTCCTGGAAGTTCAGCTTTTTAGCCAAGTCCATGGCCACCTGGGGTCAAGACTGCATTTTCCGGGCTCCTCTGTAGCTGGGTGTGACCTTGTGACCAAGTCCCCATGGGAATACAAATGGAAGTGCTGTCTGCAGCTTCTGGAAGGCAGCCCCAAAGGGGAGGTGTGCAATTTTCCTTGGCCCCTCATTCTTCCAAGTTGACATGAATGTGGATACAATGAGTGGATTTTAGGCAACCACACTGGGACCATGAGGAAGAGTGAAAGAGGAACTGAAGCGGCAGTGTGGATGGGAATCAGGTCCCTGATGACCATGGAGACACCCGACCAGCCACGACAGGGCTCCCTCCTTCCCCATGAACCTCATGTCCCTCTCACCGCAGCCACTGCTAACTTTGATTTCTATTCCACACAGCCAAGGAGTTTATAACTCAGCAAGAGAAGACAGACACAAGAGAAACAAGCAGCATCAGGAAATTAAATCAAAAAACCCCAGAATGCAGCTGGAGCAAGCGGGATGCTGGGTAAGCTCACAGCAGGGGGCAGGGCAGAGGTGGGAGGAGAGCTGACTTCACAAGGCCCGGGCAGCAATGTTGGGAAGGGCTTCTGCGATGGAGTGCTGTGGGGGTGGGGTTGTGAAGGAGGGGGAGGGGCTCACAGGAGGAAGGGAGAGGTACTTAAGGGCAAAGGACAGAAAGGACCAAGACACGGTGCTGGGCTGTGAAACTGGGTGACTGGCGCACGCAGTGACAGCTGCTGGGGCCAAGGCCTAGCAGGGCCTGTGCCCGTGCCACAGCTCCTGGCCGCTGCTTTCCCTGGGTCCCTAGAACAGACACCCCCTTGCAGACCACTTCTCCCGTGCCCTCACCATTCCTTCTCCAGCAGGAGCAACTCTGGGGCTCCAGGGTGTGTTTGTCATCAGCAAACACTGATGACAAAGCCAAGGTGACAAAGGATGTGGCTTGCAAAAGGTGACATTAATTCTAGTAACTGACAGGCTGGGGCTGAAGGGGAATGATCTCTGGTAGGTGATAGGAGTTTTCTCTGGCTAGTGGGAGCAATTTATTATTTTTGTATGACCCAAGAATTCCATGAGTGTCTTTGTTGTTGTTAATATTATTTGAAAGGCAGAGTTACAGAGAGAGGCAGACACAGAGAGGGATCTTCTGTCTGCTGGTTCACTTCCCAGTTGGCCCTAACTGCCAGAACTGGGCCAGGCTGAAGCCAGGAGCCTGCAGCTCCGTCTGGGTCTCCCAGGTGGGTGGCAGGGACTCCAGGACTTCCTGGCACGTGTATCGGCAGAAGGATCAGAGGCAGAGCGGGCTCCCGGACCCAGGCATTCCCACGTGGAATGAAGGAGCCCCGCGCGGCGTCGCACCCGCCGCGCTGATCACTGTCCCTGCTTTGCAGGCAAGCTCCACCGGCCTCCTCATTTGCACAGATGGTTCTTCCAGTCAAGTAAGTCAGAACGTTCATGGCTTTCTCCTGATTCTAAGATACAGTCGCCGTGCACAAGGGCCATGTGAGCACCATGAGTTCCCATGCAGTTGGGCCTGCGGACAACTTCCATGAAACACCTGAGGCCACTGTCCGTGGTGCACACAGCAGACTGCAAACAGCAAAATTGCACACGCTAAGGATCATGGCTGATGTGGAATCCCAGGGCAGGCTGGGTTCAGGGCCAAGCCTGGGGTAAAAACCAAGAGGTGGACAACCTCACAGGCAGGCAGGGCCCCTGTGACTCTCCTAGGGCTGGAGGTGCACACTCAAACACCCCCACAGTCAGGTAAGAACAGGGCACGTGTGTGTGGAGCAAGAAGGAGTGGTGGGGACTGGGGCAACCTGGGCAGCCTCTCCTCTCTGCACTCAGCTGTCTCCAAACGTAGCTGGCCCACATCAGCCTGTTTTGTTAATGAGGCATGACATCCAGCCTTGTACATGAAATACTCTTTCGACTTTTAAATACAGGCAATGATTTGTTTCAGTTGTTCTCTTGAACACTGCACGGGATAAGCAAAACAAATCTTGGGGAGCTGACCTGTGAGTCCCTCACTGGAAATCTCAAGATAGTCCCTGGGGGGTCCAGGATGTCCAATACAGGATCACGACTGGGCGACATGCCTTGGGGCTGTGTCCAGCCACGAGCACGCTGCTTCTCGGAGGGTCATCTTGGGGCTGTGTCCAGCCATAAGCACCCTCCTTCTCGGAGGGTCATCTTGGGGCTGTGTCCAGCCATAAGCACCCTCCTTCTCGGAGGGTCATCTTGGGGCTGTGTCCAGCCATGAGCACGCTCCTTCTCGGAGGGTCATTATCCAACCAGGGCTGGGCACTGGCAGCTGCAGGTAAACCATGTCACCCTGAGCCCAGGGCACACGAGGCTGGATTAGACCTGGTCACCCGAGCCAGAGCAGACCCATCACACCAGCTCTCTCTTCAGGAGAACTGGAGCTAGGGCTGTGCAGTGACGACACCTGCTGGGCTCGTGAACAGAAGAGAGAGGGACAGGAGAGTGGGGGCTGAGCGCAGGCAGCCTTGCTCGTGTCCAGCTTTGCCAGAGCACAGCCGGCAAAAGAAGGCAGCACACAGAACCCAGCAACTCTCGTGCACAACCACCACCGTCTGTGGGGAGCAAGGCAGGCCCTCCCCTCGTGCCGAATGCAAGACTCCGCTCCAAGTCGCGGCCAGACCGCAGTGGAAGAGTTAAAGTTCACAGGCGAAACCACGGCAGAAAATCTAGGACCCTGAGTTGGACAAATGGGCCAAGTTTTGTTTTGTTTTGTTTTGATCTGACACTGAAGGCACAACAATAAAAGCAGAAAACTGCTGAATTGGGCTTCACCAAGATGAAGAGCTTTTGTACTTCAAAGGCACAATGGAGAGCGTGAAAAGCTACAGAATGGGGAGAAAATGTTCGCCTGTCATATATCTGGTATGCCAAGTATCCAGAAGAGGTAAATAACCAACCAACCAGCCAACCAAAAACCTAAGAGCGTGAAAAGCTACAGAATGGGAGGAAATATGCATTTATTATATACTTGATGTATCCAGAATAGGTAAAAAACAAAACAAACAAACAAACAAAACCCAAAAAACAACTCCTCC